TCGATAGATTAAAAAGTTTCTCAAAATATTTTAAGGAGGTTTCAACTTACAGAGTTTGTTGTAAGCCTTTAAAGAAAAAGGAGATCTTGTTGTTTGGAAAATAAAGAAATTGGCGCGTGGGAAAGTGAAGATTACAATTAGATAAACTCTTAAAGGTTTTTCCTATTAAAGTTTCAAAGTTCAAGGATGTTTTTAAAGCTATCTAAAGTTAATTCCAGCATTAGAAGTGGACAGGGAAAATTTATTTTCCAACTTACATTTAAATTAATGACAATCAATCAACTTAAAGACTATATAAATTTCTAAAAATGCTAAAGAGCAAACCAATTCAACTCAATCTTAAATTAAGGCAACTTCACGCACACAAAGATCATTTATAACCCCAAAATGCATAGAAAATAGATTATATTGAACTGTCAAAATCAAAGTCACATACTTATCAAGCCTGTAAAAATATAGAACTAAAGTTCATGTCACATCTATTCCACTCATCCAGTGCCATAACATGACCTACATTCATAAAAAATTGTTTTAGCTCAAGAAGAAACTTTCAATTGGTCCCTTTTTGCTCTTCTCGCACTCATGAGTTTGATGATGAAGAAAAATTATTTATTATTTTGAGGAGGCAGAACAGGCTGGTCGTCTTTTTTGGTTTTTTATGGAGTCGTTCATTTCATTGCAGCTTAAAATCCTTAAACTTGAGGAGATATGCGGTCAAACTTAAGCATAAGAAATCATTAAGAGTGAAGCAAAAATGCGTTTTAAACCCCAAAATATTTACAACTTTTACCCCCAAAAATTCTCCTCGATCCCCATAAAAATCGTCCCATCAATACTATTTTTTGGTCATCAAAACAGAGCAAAAAATCAGAAGGGACATGAAAAAATCGCCTTCCATTCTTTCCATTATCATCATTCACTCAGTCCGTGACTACAGCAGTGGTGGTAATGGATGAAGAGAGTGAGGATGAAAAAAAATTTGCCCATAAAATCACTGAAACAATGAATAAAAGATTTATCAAGTAAACACTATTAATCATTTGATGATATTGTTGCCTCTGTCTTATTCAATGGAAATGAATCATTACTATCCGAAGCTTCATTACCCTTTTTTTATACAGTCGTTTGCATATGAAGCAATATTTTCTCACTCAAATGATGATTTTTAGCGTGAATTTGCAATGAAATGGACTAATGAATCTATACATAGATTATGAGAGTGACTAGAGTAACTATTAGTCGACCTTATTCATTTAAAATTCTAACGCTTTAATAGTCATTCAAATGTTAAATAATATTTAGCTGCTATTGACTAAACGCAACCTTGATTCATTCCTTTTTGTAATTCTAGTAAATTTTGGTGTCCTTAAACCAACTTCGACTCGTCTTTTTCATCCAAATTCTGTCAAATTCTTGTCGACTTTGAGCTTCACCAGAAACCCTAATAACTAATGCAACTGTAAAATAATCGCTATATCCATCACCATCCATACAAGCCCACCTTAACTACATCAAAAGCCATTGTCATTAAGTATCATCGATGTATTGATTTCTTTTTGATTAATTCTGAATAATGATAAATAATGTTAATCCATTGCTGTATTAAATGGATGACAATATATTGAGTAGGCATAAAAGAGAGCTAGCGAGAGACATGATGGAAGAAATATTTGAATGAATATAATCGGATATAAAATGTAAGAAGATGAGAAGCATGAAAAAGTAGAAGATATTAAGTTGTCTCGTGTAGGTGGATGAGGAAAATGATAAATTTCAATGTGAAGTTTGAGACGAAAAAATTAAATAAATGAATTTTTGTTTTTTGGGACTCAAAATTTTGTGAATTTGTCCTTCGTGGAAATAAAATTTCTTCAAGTTCTTAATCCAAAAATTTTGATGTTTAAATTAAAATTCTTGTAAAATTGAGAATTAACGATGACTCTCAAAAATAAAGAAAAGCTTTCGACAAGTCCCTTTCCGTCAGTTCCCCCCAATACTGATAGTAATGATGACACATCTGATTATTATTTATTTTCATTCATTGCTGTTAAGATATCAAGAGAAATAGAAGAAAAGAAAATATTTTTTTGTATGTATTCACATGATTGTCATTGTCAGTTTAAGGATCAATTGGATGACTTTAACAACATTGAAGAAAAGGAAGAAAAAAAGAGGAAAGTGATATAGCAACTAAGGTTTATTAGTTGAATGATTTTTGAAGTTGTTCGGATTGGAATGAGGATTGAGATGACAGAAATAATTGATTTCTTACAGGTTCAGGATATTGTTGAAGAGAAGGAGTTCAATAAAAGCAACAAGGACAAACCAGGAACAAGACAACCGAATTGTAACTTAAATATAGCATTTGGCCAAAAATGAGATTTATTCTCAATAAGTCAGTAATAAAAGAAGCAATTGAATATGAAAGAGCTAAGGTTTGAATCTCACAAACCAATTGCAACTCATAAGATCAAAACTAGCTCTTCTTAAGCTGTTTTATTCGTCCTCAATATAATAACATCATGAATAGGATTTCCAAGATCTCAAAAATCCATAACATCCACAACATCCCATTTAATTTAATTGACCAATTTGATCCCGAATCCAGCAACATCAGAAGCTATTCATCCCAGTCCAAAAACTCCTTATCAAACAAACACAATAAAGCAAGTCAAATAATTCAAGAAGCTAACAAATTTCCATCCACAATTGGATGTTCAACACCACAACCAGCAATAAAAATAATAATAACAATAAAATGTATCAACAAAAACTTTAGGAAATGGAGCCACATCTCAAATTTTGAGGGACTAAGAAATCAAATTATTTGATAATGGAAGGCAATATATGATAAGAGAGTGAATAGACATAAAGGGAAGCTGGGATGACATGTCAATATTATGTTTGTCTAATAATGTCTTCAAGAATTCACTTGGAATTTTTTCTTTTGGGGATGAATATGAAGAGTAAAATTTTTTTTGTAGCAATTTTGTATGATGTCCTATTATTATTGTTATCATTATTGTCCCTTCTAGTCAGAGATCGTCTAGTTTTGAGAATACTTATTTTTAAGATATGAAAAATGCTTGAAAGAATTCCTTTAGAAAATTGGTTATTAGGTCATTCAATGCATGTGTTCAAAAAATAAAAAAGGATCATCTTGGAAAGAAGGATATACTCGAATAGCACAAGTCGGTTAATGCCAAGTTGGCATGGCTCTGGTAAGGTATTGTTTCGATTTGAATCCAGCAGCATGTCAGAGTCAAAGGGCTTCGATTTAAATCCATCAGCACCATTCAAGAGTCACACAACAAAAGGCATTTTGGTTACAACAAGAAAGCCTTCCATCTAACTCTGTTGCTAGTTCTGTCACCTAGTTTGTACATTTTGTCTGTCCGCACATTAAGCTGACATTCTTTTATCACTGTTATGCGTCATGTAGCTTTTGGAGCTCCAGGGCATCTTTTCAATTGCGGATTCCAACCAAGGGCAGTGTAACAAACTTGAGTTTCTGTCTCATCAATGACATTTTCTCTGGCTAATCGAGTTTATGTCTTGGAGGAGCTTTTAATACTGTACCCTTCTGAAAAACTTGCTTGTAGCATCCCTAATAAGGATGCGGAACTGATAAATTGAATTTGAATCATTTTTGATCATCTTTGATCTTCGACATTAAGATTAAAGTATGTTATCTTCAACAAGATCAGAATAATCATCAAAACTGCTCAGGAATTGGACCCATATTTAGCACATCATAAGGACAATGCAAACATAAGTTTGACCTCAATCTTGTCTATCATATCACTTAATTTTTGAACTAACTTCAATTCACAACCATAGAGAATCTTCAAGATCATAACAATTGAATATTAAGGAAATTTACTCTTTTCCTTCACAAAATTCCTTTCCCTATTCAATATTATTATTCAAAGACGACGAAGCCTTTTCACATAATTTTATATATCCTATATCTATAGTAACTGTGTGTCTATATGTATATTGCAGTTTGAGTGAAATAAAAGAAACCACAATCAGATTCAATATGTATATTTTGTGGAAAATTATATGAGTTTCTACATGCACATATATCGTGTTTGAGTCTATTCATATACACAAGTTATTCGAGCATTATCATAGAATATTGATTATAATAGTATCATCATATTATGCAAACGTCTTTATCTACATGCAAAAAAAATATATATACATAGAGGAGTAGAATTGAATAGACACAGTAGTGTTGTAAATGTATAATGAATTGGAATAAAGGAGGTGATATAGGGAATGAAATGACTTGAAGCGAGCGTGGGTTAAGTGAATGGAATTAAATAAAATCTTTAGAAAATCTAGAGCAGGATGAAATGAGGTGCTTTATTATAATTGAAGTGCATGTCAATAGCTACAAAATGGATTATTTTTCAAGAGTCTCAGGCTCATAAGTATTCTGCAATAAACATCCAGAAATTACTATCTTAATTAACCAACTACTTGGCATTGTTTACAAAACTCATATTGACATTAACTATAATCCCAATTAGATATTGATAAAGACACTCGTGATTAACACAAAATTTCCGTCATCGTGTGGTTTTTACGTTTCAATCAGATCAAAGAAGCTATCATAAACTGTAAATCAAAATAATTGAACAAAGTGATGCGGATGTTGATAAGGTTTTGGGGAAATAATGTGGTGCGATGGGAAAATTTTGATTATGAATTAATCAACTCGGTTGTGTTTACTTTATTAACTGACACGTAGTTTCTATGCTGTAATTTATTATGAGGCACAAAAGCCGCAATGTTTTCCACTGAAATGAATGACACTGGAAAAATAATATGGTCCATTTTAATATGGTCAGGAATGCCCAAAACGAATCTTCTTTTCAAAACATAAATTGGAGGTAAATACATGACTTGAGCCACTCATTGAGCTCCTTATCTTATCACATGCCATTAAATTTTTGATACTTAACAAAGTGACTATAAATTCAAAGAATTGTGCCACACTTGTTCATAGTTGAACTGAATTTTGTGAAATGAAGATCGCAATTGCGTTTTTAAGTTTTATTGTGTTAGGTAAAAATTGTTGCATTCATTTTAGTGATTTAACTTGATTCTTGTTGGACATCAAGCTCAAAAATAATAAATTAATTATTTCACATGAAAATGAAATTCAATATTTATTATCAACTCAAATTTGAATGGCAAATAATATAAAATTAAATCCCTCTGCTCAACATTATTCTTATAAAGACAGTCAATTAAATTCACAATATGCCTTCATATCTAATTCCACAGCCCACACAATACCAATTGAAGAATTAGAGCCAGTAGAAATAGAACCACAATTTGATGTCTACCGTGATGTTCGTCTGTTACTAAGCACAAGAAGAAATCGTGGAAGTCCGATACGAATTTCCTTCAGAAATGCGGAGAGCATTCGAGCAAGTCCATTTGATCCTGCAAAGCCTACGAGAGTCTTGGTAAGTTTAAAAATAAACAGCCTCAAGAAGTTTCTCCCTCTAATTCATAAGTCCATAGAAATAATTGAAGCATCAAAATTGAAATTTTATTCTACAGATTCATGGATGGTGGGAGGATGATACCTCAGCTATTTCTGTAGATACATCCGAGGAATTATTGAATTATTATGATTTTAATGTGTAAGTTGATTCTGTACCTGCAAGTTCGGCCAGTGAATTATTATAATGAGATTTATTTGCACACCGTAACAATCTCAAATGAAGCACGTTGAAGATAAATTTCTATTTTATTTCCAGGATATTTGTTGACTGGAGTGTAGGCGCACAAACAATCAATTATATTGGAGCTGCTAATCGTGTGGAAACTGTTGGATTCTTTGTTGCATCGCAGCTGAATTTCATGAGAGAATATAAATTTGTGGACTTTGATAGACTTCATGTCATTGGATTCTCACTCGGTGCCCATATTGCTGGTAAGTTAAGCTTCGATCTTTAATATTCATGAAATTTTAATTAAAATGCTTCATAATTAAGGACACACTGGAAAGAATACAAATGGAGAAATTCACACAATCGTTGGTCTTGACCCAGCTGGTCCACTGTTCAGCGAAAGGTAACATTGACTCTCATTAAAAATATCAAATTAATCCAAATAATCCTGACATTTTCCAGGCGCCCAGACGGTAGAATTGATGCCAATGATGCCAGGTAACTTCACTCAATTATTCACAAATCTTGTCCATTAATAACTCATTTTAATACCCAGATACGTTGAATGCCTTCACACTAACGGCGGACTCATCGGAGCTGGAATTGGAACAGCAATTTGTCAAGCAGACTTCTTCCCAAATGGTGGCTCAAGTCAACCAGGTTGCTGGACGAATACATGCTCACATGGTCGTGCTGTAGCTTTCTATGTAGAATCAATTATTGACAACTCATTCCATGCAACAAGATGTGAGACTGAACGTGATGCATCTCGGGAGAGTTGTAATGCTGGAACTGGATTTTGGTTTGGTGGGGAGCCATCGAATGCTAGATTTAATTTGACAGGAATATTCCATTTTAGAACCAATAGAGATTATCCTTATGCTCAAGGACCCGCAAGACCATAATTAAAAAATATTTTTTTAATGCATAAATGAAAACCGAATCTGTAAATAAAGATAGTGATTAAGTTTCTAAATGAAAATGACTAAATCTTTAATTTTTATTTTCTTAAAAACTTGAGAAATAACTTTTATTAAGGTAATTCAGCATTGAAAAATGTGGCTGACACTTAGTTATTACAATATTATTTCAGAGCTTAGCTTTCGTGTTACCAGAAAATGCAGGAATCCAGAGCCTAAGTTCAATCCTAAAATCATTGTTGCTAAAGTTTGCTTAATATTCTTAAAAAATTTCATTTTAAACTTTCTCCAAAAAAAACTCGTCATTAGTTCCAAAGTGAAAAAAGCAAGTGTTAAAGCACACGAGTATATCCATAACATAAATCCAATTTCAAGATCTTGAAGAGTTAGTACAGCTGGATTTTCAAAATTCTTTGAATATTTTTTGAAAATTAGTGATTCATAAAAATCATTTAAATACTGTGGAATTCCAGATGGAATCAATTGACTTGTCACACTTTGCAATAATTGAAACATGAAATTATTTTTAAAAGTTGCATATCCAGTCTGAACGCTATAAAGAGTCTGATCGAGTTTATTTCCAAATGCATTGCAATAGGTGTTATATGTCAGAATGTCCTCAAGTGGAGCAAAGTATGCAAGTTTTTGAGACGAATCATTAATGTTGTTGCAGTACGAAAGGATTAAGTCTTCGATATTATTAAACACTTCAATTCGTAATCTATGAAATTTAAACTAGTAAAGAGATCACACGTGATCGACCGAAGCACATTTTCCCCGCACATAATTCAAGTAGAAATTAAAATTCAAAAACTTATTTCATTTGAAAAATAACGGTCAAAAAATGTTTGAAAGAAAACGCCCAAAAATTATTTGACTAGGAACGTTTTAAGAGCCAAATTTCAGCTCAAATGGACAAAAGATGCAAAAGTTTTACCATATCAAAAAAGTGTAAAAACGAATTAAAAAAAAGTTGCTCGTTTTTAGGATTAAACCAGCGACCTGAGGATTGTAGAAAAAAGACACCTTTATAAGGGCTGCTTAAAAATACGTACGTAAAAACGTTAGAAAAAGTTTATTTAATTACCCTTCTTGCTCCAATTATTCTGATTTTTTGGCCAGCTCTTGCCAGACACAATACACACATTATAAACCAAAACCCGCATCAAAAAAAGCTGAAACTGGTAGAAGAGATAGCTAGACAGACGGACAAATGAACGCACAAAACGCAGACAATAGCGTCATTTCTTGAAAAGAAAATGCGCTTATAAAAAATTTTAGATTTTCTTAATTTCGTAATCTAAAATTTAACTTACTTTGTTCCATTCTCAATCATTTGCCTTAATGGTACAACAAACTCCTTCGGACTAATTGTATAAATTGTGTAATTATTTTCCAAAAGATCTTTAATTTGAGTTATAACTGGTCTTCTTAAATCGTTGGTTAGCATATAATATGAGACACCTTGATAAGCTGTACGTATTACTAAGCAAAAGTACACAAAAAAGATAAGAATCATTCGTGGGAAATTTGACATAGGAAGTCGAGTCTGACCGATTCCAAAAAATGTTCCAACAATATTAAAGGCAGGCATTTTGACGCCTTCGCCATATAGAATTACTTGATATTTCATCGATAATCGATTGACAAAAAAAATGACGAAAAAAGCTGCGAAGAAAGTAGTGAACAGAAAAATCCATGTAAGGCAGTCAAAAGGCATTACCATTTTCTCAAAATTTGTATACTTTTGACTTGGTGTGATCATGAAGATCATATCAATTTGACTGAATGTTGTCGTCACATGATGAGTCGTAACCCCGACTGATTTAATTTCAATGAAAACATTTAACCTGAATTTGGAATCTTTCTTAAGATTAGACGAAGAATCTTCATCGAGAAGTTGATAACTTGGTATGAAATTGCTTTTTTCACCGAGTATTTTGAAAAGACTGACAAGACTTCCTTTAATTTTTCCATCAATTTTATCTTTAAATGCATATTTTAAGTATTTATAGAACGATCCAACTAGTAAAGTACATTCATGGAAGTTGTGAAACTTTTTTGTCATTGAATCAATTTTTAGCGTCCATGTTCTTGAAAGTAAATCAAATAGATTTATCCGACTAGCTATTGGATTATTGCAGCTCTCAGGTGTGTACCAATCAATTGTTAATAAACTTACAGTCTGATAGTTATTTCTAACCATGATATATTCAAAACAAGCAATATCTCCATGATAAGAACTCAATTTTTGTTGTAGATCTAAATATACAGCATTTTCAGTTAAGAAATCGTCGACATACACGAGAAATTTCAGTAACTTTGGAAATCGATTATTCAATATTGTTCGATGATTAAATGTATATAATTCGTTAAATCGTTTTACTATTATAAGTGCTGATTGGTTTATTTTGTAACTCCAATTCTTAGGATTTTTGATGCTGATCTGCTCAATTGGAAAGTTTTCACTGCTTATTCTACGTAAAACATTATTCATTAAAGATTTTAAATATTCAGATTCATTTTCACTATTGCTGTATAGAATTACTTCAAATCTTAACTCATTCTTTATGAAAAGCTAGTTGGCAACATCAGCTATAGAATGAGCTAAGGCATCTTGATGCAAAGCAAAAATTTCTAGTGAAATCAAATTTAGAATTAAAATTATTTTGTTCAACATTTTCTGCTACTTAATTTTTTGGATGTTGGAACTAAAATGAAAACTATTATAGCTAAAAGAATAGAAAAATGGTCGAATCACAAATCAATAAAAAATAATAATTACAATTACAATTACATTGAATATTTGATGCATACTTATTAAAAATAAAAGACAAGACTAAACCCGTTTTTGTGTTTGTTCACACAAAGAAGAGATAGCCTTTGATGTTTAAGAGTACAACTCAATACAACTCTGGTCTGATACCAGAAATCCTTAGCTCATCAATGTCAAACTTCTTTTTTAAAAAATCAATATTAGTATAGCTTCCATAAAATAACTACAATTTTTACAAAATCCTTTCATGAATAATTAAAACGTACACATCAATTTAATAATTTAACCTATAAGCATAAAAGCCAAACAAGCTCGTGGCTTTCTACTTAAGTCGTGGTTTTTTGTCAATTTAAATTTGAATGACAAAGAATAAAAAATTAAATCCTTCTGTTCGGCATCATTCTTATAAAGAAAATCAATTAAATTCACAATATGCCTTCATATCTAATTCCACAGCCCATACAATACCAATTGAAGAATTAGAGCCAGTAGAAATTGAACCACAATTTGATATCTACCGTGATGTTCATCTGTTGCTAAGGACAAGAAGAAATCGTGAAAGTCCGATGTGAATTTCCTTCAGAAATGCGGAGAGCATTCGAGCAAGTCCATTTGATCCTGCAAAGCCTACGAGAGTCTTGGTAAGTTTAAAAATAAACAGCCTCAAGAAGTTTCTCCATCTAATTCATAAGTCTGAAATATTTCCAAAAAAATAATTGAAGTATTTAAAATGAAATTTTATTCTACAGATTCTAAGTTCAATTTAACAGGAATATTCCATTTTAGAACTAATAGAGATTATCCTTATGCTCAAGGACCTGTAAGACCTTGTTAAATACACTAAGTATTAGTGGAGTAGAAAAATAATCTGAATCTGTAAATAAAAGTAGTTTTTAAATTTCTTAAATTAAAGATTTGAGCGTAATTGAGTTTTATTGAAGGCAATCAATGTCATTGTGAATTACCTGAAAGTATTGTGCAGCATTGTTCAAAGCTTAACTTTTTTTGGATATTAGGTCAATCCCAAAAACATATCTGTTAAAAACTGCTGAATATAATTAAAACACTTCTTTTTTAATTGTTTCAAAAAATAACTCGACATTAGTTCCAAAGTAAAAGAAACAAATGTCAAAGCACACGAGCACATCCATAACATAAATCCAATTTCAAGGTCTTGAAGACTTAGTACAGCAGGGCTTTTAATTACTTTTACATTGTGAGCTTTATAAACAATTGTTCGATAAAAAGTTTGAAGGTATTGTGGAATTCCAGTCGGAATCAATTGTCTTGTTACATTTTGCAATAATTGAAACATAAAGTTGTGTCGAAAAGTTGCATATCCAGTGTGTGTACTGAAGAGAATCTGATCTAATTTTTTTCCTGACACATTACAATCCTTTTCAATTAGAAGAAAGTCTTGAAAGGGAACAAAGTATGCAAGTTTTTGTGAAGTATCATTGATGCTTTTGCAGTATGAATATGTTAAATCTTCTGCATTATTGAACAACTTAATTCGCAATCTAAAAGGTCAAAAAAAGAAGGAAATTGCTTTAATGAAATTTGCGCAACTGTGGATTGACTTATGTTGTTGGTTCAAAAATAAAGCATAAAGCCAATCAAATCTTCAATCAGATCCGTTGCAATAAAAATGTGTATGAAGAATAAATATTTTTAAGAAGCATAAGTCATTTCTATTACTTACTTGCTTCCATTTTCAACCATCCTTTTTAATGCTGTTGTAAAAACAGCTGAATTTATTGTGCAAACCGTATAATTATTTTCAAAAAGATCTTTAATTTGAGTTATAGCTGGACGTCTTATATCGTTTGTTAGCATATAATATGAGACACCTTGATAAGCTGTTCGTATTACTAAGCAAAAGTACACAAAGAATATTAGAATTATTCGTGGAAAATTTGAGAATGGAAGTCGAGCTTGACCGATGCCAAAAAATGTTCGAACTATATTTAAAGCAGGCATTTTAACGCCTTCGCCATAGATCATTACTTGATATCTAAACGATAATCGATTGACGAAAAAAATTACAAAGAATGCAATCAAAAACGTAACGGCCAAAAAAATCCATGTAATTCTATCAAAAGGCATCACCATTTTCTCAAAGTTTGTATACTTTTGACTTGGCGTGATCATAAAAATTATTTCAATTTGATTGAATGTTGTCGTCACATGATGAGATGTAACAGCGACTGATTTAATGTCAATAAAAACGTCTAGCAAGTTCCTTGAATATTTATCAAGTATAAATGTTGAATTTGTGTCAGGATCGAGAATAAGGTAGTTTGGTTTGAAATTTCCCTTTTCTCCAATTATTTTGTAAAGACTCACTAGACTTCCTTTAATCTTTCTATCAAATTTATCTTTATATCCAAAATCACGAAAGTTCGATAATAATCCTACTTGTAAAGTACATCCATAAAAATTGTGATAATTTATATCCATTAAATCTGTGTCCCACTTCCATCTTCTTGTTATTAAATCGAAGTAATTTTCTTGAATTGCAAAAGGTTTGTTGCAATTATGAGGTAAGAACCATTTTATTGTGAATAAACTGATGGTTTGGTAAATAGTCTTAATCATTAAATATTGAAAAAACGCAATATTTCCATAAAAATAGCTCAATTTTTGAGGTAAGTTCATATTTATAAAATTATCAGTTTGAAACTCATCAACATACACGAGAAACTTCAGCTGCTTTGGAAATCGATTATTTAAATTCGTCTGATTATTAAATGTGCATAAATCGTCAAAATTATCAATTATAATTAATGCAGATTGACTAATATTACAACTCCAGTTCTTAGCATTTTTAATGCTGATTTGCTCAATTGGAAAGTTTTGGCTGTTTATATTACTTAAAATATTATTCATTAAAAACTTTAAATACTCAGTTTTAGTCTTATTATTATTATAAAGAACAATTTCAAATCTCAATTCATTCTTCACGAAAAGCTAATTTGCAACGTCAGCTATTGATTGTGCTATTAAATATTGATGCATAGCAAATATGTCTTGCAAAACTAAATTCAGAATTAAAATTATTTTATTGGACATTTTTTTTTCCTTTCTTATATCCTTCCTAACCGTTTAAATATCAAAACTCAAATGTAAATGATTGTTGCTTAAAGGTGGAAAATATATAAAAATTTCAACACAAAAAATCAATTAAAAACTTATTAAAAATAATCTATTTATAAATACGAGTCTCTAAACATGTAAATTGTCATTTATCTTAATCTAAGACAATGCATTATGGTTTTGTTGTCCTTTATTTATAGTGATTTAGTGAGCAAACTCTGGTGAAAATCATTCATCATCACTCTTTCTCTTATAGTTTAACCTTTAAATCTGATAGGTTCAACTCATGTTCGACAGACTTATCGAAAGTCTAGGGGTGTTTTAATATGCACGTTCGAAAAATTTAAATTTGAAAAACCGTTACAATTTTTGGTCATTTTATTCAAGTTTTTGATAGTTTTGAAAACAGATTTAGCTATATTATCAAATGATAAAATAATATTTTCATCTAAAATTCTTGAAAAAATTGCTTAATTTAAGTTTTCATTTTTTCCTAATTTTCGAAAATTTCGAACTGCAGGGTATGAAACTTCGAATTTTGCATGACAGACAGCCAAATAAGACATTTTTACAAGTGTTCTTGGGAACTGTAACGGTCGAAACTCTTGAATTGTTCGTATCAGTTTAAATGGATTTGAATACTCCAGATTCAACTTAATTCCAAAAGTACATTCTTAATAAGGTCCTGTTTTTATATCTTCTTCTTTTTCGATGTAAAACTACTTATTAGAAAACACTAATATAGCTTCTTCAAAAATATCTAAATCCCTTCATTTATTATTAAAACGTACACATCAATTTAATATTCTAACCTATAAGCATAAAAGCCAAACAATTTCCACACCAATAAACGTTTTTAACCAAATTAGTTACGCATTTTAACGCAAACAAATTAAGCGAATTTCCGCTCGCTGTAGATGAATAATGTCAATCCTTAACAAAAACCCATATTTTCATAAAATAAACAATTGCCTTTCATGATTTTATATCATCTTGGGCTTAAATTAAAATGAATGCAGGAGAAAATGTAAAGAAGTCTTACGGCTGATTTAAAGTAAGAATTGGATAAAGCGCAATCACAAGACATCATTTGTCATGCTTCACTACTTAATTTTGATCTTCAAGCTACTAATTTCTAGTTACTAGCTACTAGCTTCTACTGGGGGTCCTCGATTTGAGTAGGTGTTTTGTTCCAGAAAAATCCTATTCAAATCGAATCTACTCAAATCGAATTATTTACTTTTTGTATGAAAAATGTCCGTTACCAAAGTTTTTTTAAAATTTTCTATTCATTAATTTTCGTTAATCAAATTGAATCTATTCAAATCGAATCTACTCAAATCGAGGACCCATAGTATATTCTAGCTACTATATTCTAGTTCCTAGCTACTAGCTACTATATTCTAGTCACTAGCGTCAAGCTCCTAGCTACAAGCTACTAGCTCCTATATTCTAGTTACTAGCTACTAGCCACTAGTTAATAAATTCATTTGCTACAAGCACTGGGTTCGTATTCAAAAATTTTACAAAAAAGATACTATCCGCAGCCAGTCAATTCCATACTTACTAAATCTCATTTCCTTCACTGTCAAGCTACGTCAAAAAAAATATAATAAGGAAGATTTTTACCGCATTAAAACTTCACTATTAATTATTGTGACCCAATTCATTAACAGCAAGAAGGGAATGAAGCGAAGAGGAAAATTACGAAGAAGATTTCTTTTCCATTCATCGCCCCTCGATGTCGTTAATGCAACCCAAAATAGCACTTTACAGTGTTTAAACGAGCGAAAACTAATTGATATTAATTCGAAACTTGATTCGTTCCTTCTTTCTTCCTTACTTTTTGTATTTATTTAAAGCGGTGGTGCTGCTTGCTTGCTTACTTGCTCGGTTAGTTGTTTGACTTGATGTGGTGTATGGTTTATTTGTGGATTTAAAATGGGATTGTGTGTACATTGAGAAACTATAATGTGGAAGTTAAAGGAGGAAGTTGAAATGAGAATGAGGATATGAAGTAGGCTTTGTGTATTGATTAAGTAACAATGTTATAAGTTTTTCTAGGCTTGAAGTATTTCTACAAATTGCTAGCACTGAGCAAAGGTAAAGTCAGCAAAAGATGATTACCAGGAACTGGCTGTTTCATAGACATAAGTGACGTTGTCATCATATTAACCCCAATTGCAACTGAACTGATGAATATTTTTTAAATTAAGTGATAATTCCAAAGACATCATTTATCAACCCTTCCCAATCCAAATATCTAAATCACAACCCCATCGTTGACAAAATTGCAGAAATATTTAAATTCACATTTTATGTTACTGCTGTATCGTATTTCATTTTCATCTTCAATTACAAATTGCCGTTTCGTAGACAACTGTCTCCTACTCCTGCGGTTTTCATCGTTGTCATTGTCATCTTTGATGCTATATATAGGAAGGGTAGAATCTCATACCTCAAAAATTATTTTAAAATTAGACAATGAAACCTTTTTAAAAATAAAAGGAAGATGAAGAATTTTTCCATTTAATATTGTCGACCACAAAATCTTTATTAATGATGTCATATTATCCCTCTTTTTTCTTCGTTCTTCCTTCCTTCCGACCGTAGCAAATTTAAAATTAATTCGTTGCTTTTCTTAGTTTTTCTCATCTCTAGTTGGTCTTTGATTTCGAATTTTTCTCTATGCACATCTCATTGACCAATCAAGCATCATTACATTCACAATCAAGTCATAACTTCGGATGCACAAGGTCAAAAGTTTGATAATAATTCCATCTCATTCATAATGCAAGAACTGCAACTGAATATAAAAATGTCTTGATTCATCATAAAATCTGAGAAGTGTCCGCTTTAAGCTGCTACAATCAACGGGTTTCGTGAATTCCACCCTTCATCCTCTAATCCATTCATTTGGTTTTTAATGTTTGTTGAATTTTTTATGATTTTTTTATTTTATTCCTCATTCCACTTGACTTTCTTGTCATTTTCAACTAAAGCTCGAGGATTAAAATAAATTAAAATGACAGTCCACTTCTTGATTATAATGGAAATGAATAAAAAATGAAGTAAATTTTTACAGTTTCACGCTCTGTTCCCCCTTTTTTTGTATCCGGTCTTTGTGGTGTTAGCTGCAGTCATTCTGATTTACAAGTGTCGAGATTGTAGCTTTGCTTCCCATTTTAATTAAGGTTTAGGAGCCTTTACTCTAGGTTTTTAATATTCAGGCGACTTTACACTAGAGTGTTGATATTCAGGTACCTTCATACAAGAGTTTTGACGTTCAGGTGCCTTCACACTAGTGTTTTATGGTTCAAATGCCTTCACACTAGAGTTATCACAATTGGGTGACTTCACACTCATGTTTTGAGATTCAAGTGCCTGCACACTAGAGTTTTGATATTCAGGTACCTTCATACAAGAGTTTTGACGTTCAGGTGCCTTCACACTAGTGTTTTATGGTTCAAATGCCTTCACACTAGAGTTATCACAATTGGGTGACTTCACACTCAAGTTTTGAGATTCATGAGTCTTCACATTAAAGTTGTGAGCTTCGGGTGCCTTCACATTAGAGTTGTGTGATTTGTGCATTATGAATCAAATTGAGCCCTTATTGTGGTCAAACAGTTTCAATCTGTTTAATTTTAATTAATAGAATATCTGGAAGCAATTAAACTACAATTGAGTCTATTTGCACATGTAAATGATTGAATATGTTCGATAAAAAATTTAATCAATAGAAATTTTCGGTTACAGACGCCAATAAAGCATTCCGAGAATCAAAGACGAGCACAAAAATTCCCCATATTGAGCATAATTTACGCATCTCTGAATCATATATTCACATCGAATATACAGCCCCGAGCGGCACAAGGTGGAGGGTGGTCTCCATATGGAATCCATATGAAAGCCACCTCCACTATGTGGAAAGTAAATGGAGGGTTATTTTTTCATCCTTCATATTGATTCCATTTGGATTCCATATGAACTCCGCTTTTTCTTAAATCAAATACCGAAAAACTCGTGCTTTTGAATTTTTAAAAGACAAAGGTCAGATCTTACTGTAATGGATTGAAATATTGTCGAAAAGCTTTACTGAATCATATTGCTTCATTTCAAGCTTTAAAAAAGCAAAAAAGGATAATTTTTTGTGATTTTGTATGAAATTACATACTTCACAAGCGCATGCAGAAATCACTATTATATGGGGTCGTTTAATTTGTATGAAAATTTTTAATAATTTCTTATGTTTCTCACGCGTGTGATCGAGACTTAGAAATTGCTGTGGTTGCGACTTAATTAAATTAAGTTGTAAATTTTTCAATGGTGTTAGTGTACTTTAATTAAGTCCACTAATACAGCTACAAATCTTGATATAAAAATTGCGAAACATAGAAAACACGTGGAAAATCGTACCAAAAATCCTTTGAAAAAAACTTCCATTAAACCTCCGTTTGACTACCACAAATGGATCCTCCATCCTCCATCAAAACCTCTCAAATGACTTCCATTTGGTGTTAATAAATGCACGTCCCACGGAGGATTTTCGGAGCTTTGGCTCCGTCAAAGTTCCATGATAGTAAGGTTTTCGGAAGATTTTCAAATGGAGGGTGGAACATGGAGGCTCCGTATAGCTTCCATATGGAAGGCAAATGGAGCCTTTGTGCCGCTCGGGAGCAATAAATCTCAATTCACATAAATTATGATACACGTTTTTGTAAGTCATTGTCTCTATTTTCCAATTCCTTCTTCATAGATTTTTTTTCGAATCGATCAACATAGAATGGCTA